TTTACACGCAAATAATCAATCAGAAAGCATCTATAAAGAAATTAGAGAAAACAAATTTTTGCTCAATGAAATAATAAACAAAAGAAACCAATTTCTGATTCACAGGCTCCGTCAAGAAACTTTTCACCATAGCAATAAATCCGGAAAATATTTAGCCAGTCAAATTAAAAGAAATAAAGAAAAAACAGCTATAACCTCCATCAGAAACTCGGCAGGGAAGCTAACCAATTCACCAGTTGAGATAAACAGGACATTTCAAGATTACTATACTAAATTATACTCATCCGATCTTGATCCGAACCAAAAAGACATAACCCAATTCCTCGATAACATCATTCTACCAAAACTCAACATGGAACAAATAAACACACTAGAATTACCAATCACAGAAAAAGAACTTCACTCCGCACTGAAAAGCATGCAAAATAATAGAGCACCAGGTCCAGATGGCTTCCCTGCTGAGTTTTACGAACATTTTTGGTCAACCTTATACCCACTATTTAGCAGAACAATAACAGAAATAAAACACAATGCAAAGTTCCCTTCCCACATGAATACAGCACTTATAACACTAATTCCTAAACCTAACAAAGACCACACCTTCACATCTAACTATCGTCCTATCTCACTTATAAATGTCGACATAAAAATTATTAGCAAAGCATTAGCCCATAGAATTGAACAAATTATACCATATATAATCCATCCTGATCAGACTGGCTTCATAAAAGGTAGACATGCATGTAATAACACCCGCAGATTATACAATTTAATGCATTACTCATCAACACAACAGAAAGATACTCTCATTGCCACATTAGACGCCGAAAAAGCTTTTGACAGGGTCAACTGGAAATTTTTATTCACCACGTTACAAAAATTCGGCTTTGGAGAGTCATTTATTAACTGGATCAAGATTTTATACACATCACCATCGGCCACAGTCACAACGAATGGACTAACATCACAAAGCTTCGCACTGCATAGGGGGACGAGGCAGGGATGTCCACTCTCTCCATCCCTATTTACCATTTTTATTGAACCTTTAGCAGCAGCTATCCGTCAAAACCCAGCAATCAAAGGTATTGAAACAGCACAACAAATACATAAAATCTCACTCTATGCAGATGATATCCTACTATATATACAAGAACCCCTAACATCTACTCAAGAAATAATCAAAACAATCCAGTCCTTCTCAAAAATATCCGATTATGCAATAAACTGGAATAAATCCTCCATCCTCCCTTTACATAAAACCAAATGGGATGTGGCACCCCATCAATCACCAATACCTATTTGTCAGGATCACATCACTTACTTAGGCATTAAGATTTCCTCCAGACTGTCAGAGTTGGTAACACTCAACTTTACACCACTACTAAAAAAAATAGAAGACGATTTGCTCAGGTGGCTCAACCTCCCAATCTCCATAATCGGCAGGATAGCAGCAATAAAAATGACGATTCTACCAAAAATTAACTACCTATTCTCAATGATTCCAACCCACCCCACACTCACCTGGTTTAAATCACTAGACTCCATTATAACTCACTTCTACTGGAAAAATAAAACGCCATGGATAAAACTCACTACACTACAAAAGAGTAAGGTTCAAGGAGGACTAGAAGCACCAAATTTCCAATATTACTCAATGGCTAACCAACTGCAATACATATACTGTACAAATGGATTCACCCGACCCAATCTGATATTATATGGCTAGATATAGAACAATCACTATGCAAATAATTAAATATAGCTGACATACCGTTCCTCACCAAATCAATTAAACAACACACATGTTTTAATGCAGTAACTATAGCCTCCACTCTGACAGCCTGGTGGAAATTTCACCAAATCACAAACTCTACATTAGCTCCATCTAACCTCACTCCACTATGGAACAACCGTGATTTTATAAGCAATAAAAAAACATTGAATTTTCACACATGGGCGGAAAGGGGTATCACCCACATTAAGCATATTTTCAAACCCAACACATTTAAACCATTTCCACAACTGGCTCAGGAGTATGGCATTGGGAACAACGAATTTTTAAAATACCTACAAATCAAATCTTCTGTCCTGGCAAAAATAAACATCAGAGATACAAATTTAGAACTTCCACCGGCAATATCAGACATGGTCAACATTTCCTCTCCAAAAAAACTGCTCTCTAAAATATACAAAATTATCTCAAATCAACTTCAGACTATATACTTACCAACAATAAAATGGGAAAATGATCTTTCAATAGCCACTGATGCCAACTTCTGGACCCAAATCTGTAAAAACGTCTATCTCATGTCCAAAAATCTTCAGTTAATACAATACAAAATACTCCACAGAACACATTACACAGGCAATAGATTAGCTAAAATGGGTTTCACATCAGAAGTTTGCACACATTGCAATCAAAATTCTACAGATACATACATCCATGCAACCTGGCTCTGCACTCCAATCAAACACTTTTGGGAAGAGGTCACACAATCACTATCCACTATAGTTGGCTGCCACATCCCATTGTCGCCTTCCCTTTGCTTGCTGGGGGACCTCACAATAATCACTGATAAAACTATAAACTCTAAAATACTCCTCATAGCGCTAACCATCGCCAAGAAAACTATCCTCATGAACTGGAAAACCAGAAATAAATTACACATTAACATTTGGAAAAATCTTATTACAGACTTCATTGCAATGGAACTCGCATCTCCCCTTCATAATTACACATCTGAAACTGACCTCTACCGTCCAACACTTTCTGACCTCTTACAGCTATGAATCCCTTCTCTGTGCTTAACTCAGACTATAACCAACCCACGAATATTTGTGCATTTTAGTTGTTCGAACTTGTTTTTGTCATCATTGTTAGTGCTATCTTTACGGTCACTGTTATGATTACTATTTTCACTTTTATTTTATTTTTTGTTGTTTCATTGTTGTAATTGCTGTTGTTGCTGTCTTTTGCTCTCACCGTTGTGATCACCACTGCCATCATCATTGTCATTTATTATTATTATTATTACTACTATTATTATTATTATTATCATCAATATTGCCATTGTCAATGCTGTAGAATTAGAATGTAGAACAAGAATTAAGCGTCATTGTCATCACTAATGCAATAACTTCCCCCTTATCTCTTCATGGGTTTTTAATGCACCACAACATAGAAAAGGGAAAAAAAAAAAAAAAAAAAAAGAATAAGTATATTTGGAAAAACATCGCAAACACCAAGGCAGGCAAGACAGGCGAGAAGTAGTTTCAACGGGACAGCATCTCTGGCCCAATTTGAGACATTCTTGCACTGTACTCCCTCTTTTAATGCACTTTAGACATTGCACATAACAAAAAAAAAAAAAAAAAAAAACGAAAAATAGGAAAAGATAGGGACTGATGAGATGTGGGGGAAGGTTGTCTTATATTATATTATTATATTATCATATTTTGTACAGGATTGACAATGGCAATTGTTACATAGGAGGAAGGATGGAAATAAAAATCTACAAAAACAATATGGGCAGTATGGTGGTAGTGGGGAGTGATGGTAATGACAATGGTAATAAATAATAAATGGTTACTTTGTGTACACACGCATACACATACCCACGCTCATACACGCTCACTTACACACTTAGATCAAACACTTAAATCACTCTTGCCACTGCTGGAATTATGGATTTACAAGATTGCTCACTACTGCACTATGTTGGTTTGTTTGTATGTATGTCTGACTGTTAAATAAAAAAAATAAAAAAAAAAAACAATTATTTTTAGATAATATATACCCGTTACATTCCCCCCTGCTAAACCCTGCCACTCCATCGACATCTTCAGCAGACTCATCTCTGAAACACAAAAAAACATATTAGGAAGACATCACATTATACATGTATAACTCTTGCTCCTAAGACCTTACTTATTTTAGAATGTAATCATTTTATATGATGCTGAAATAAACACCTCTCTACAAGCAAGGATGATACGTACGTATGTAGCCTATGTCAATATATATATATATATATATATATATATATATATATATATAATAGATATATTAAACAATAGATAGACAATTAAACAAAGATATACGCATTATACAGGCCTACACAGTGCTTTAATTTCAGGAAGGTCTAATAACATTATTCAGGTATATCGTCTAAAAAGAATTATAATAAAGTAATCAAAAGTAAAATAGCACTGCAAAGTTTATCATAGATAGATTTATGCTTATTAAAGCTGAAGTTATTCATTCAAGAGCTGTGAGTGATTTTCTCTTTGCCTTTGGTTGTTTTATTCTCAGTAATGTCGCAATCGTCACATTTATACTGCTGCCCCTTTAAGAACTAGTGTGGATTTCATAGTCTACTGATGCACCATATTTTCTCCCAACTATTTCCATAAACCAACTATCTCCATAAACTCCCAACTATTTCTCCCAACTATTTCCATAAAAAAAATTTGTTGGCATTTTACAACAAATACCGATCGTGCTGATTCTGTCTTAAAGTTTGAGTTTTACGGAGAAATGACAGTGCACCGCCGCGATGGGAAGGAAGTTGGCTGCACAGAATGCGGCTATTGTTTAATGTTTTTTTTTTTACCTCAATATATTCTTTAATCTTTGGAAATCAGACTAATATCACAGATCTAAAGTGTAACCAGGCTATGTTTTCTCTGTCGTCACTCATTAAGCAGGGCTGTCGTGTTGTGCGTGCTGTGGCACCGCGTGAGAGATCTCTCTCTCTTTCTCTTCTGGACTGCGAATTGCAAACATGCATCACTGACAAATAGTTTAATTTATACGGCTTTGCAAACATTGCATTTTGCTGTCTTGCTCTGCTGCGGTGTTTCCAGTGTGAAGTATTTCCACCATAGGATTTCCACACAGCGAACATATTGGTAGCTCAATGCTATCCTGCTAGCTGGCTGCAAACTGCGGAATGGATTTCTTGAGCGGGCGTCTGTGTGTCTCATTGAGCCCTATTTTTGAGTAACCCCAGAGTGCACTCTGGACGATGGGGTGGGGCGACACTTTTGGGTGGAGCGACACGTGTCGCCCTGCCCCTATTTTCCTGTTCCCGCCTTTGCCATTTTCCTCCGACCCCCTAGGGGGCAGTTTGCGATAAAAGGCAACGGTGGCAGCATTAACGAACGAACGACGCTCCACGTTGATTGCGATTCCAAATGGTGAGTAAAAATGGTTGTGTAGTTTTATATAAACATATTTAAAAATGTACCATGATGTTCGTGAATCAAATCTGGAATAGTTTCCTTCTGAAAGAATGTCATGAATAAAGAATCTTGAAGAACTTGCTCTAATACAATAGCAATATGTTTAGTTTTTTTTAAAGCTATGTTTATTTATGTTAATTATGTTTATTTTAAATCGAGAGCAATAAATTACTTTATTGTTAAACTTTGAATGAATTAATAATTTCTCCTTTTTTTTATGAATAATTGTTGATTGTGTAGTGGGTCTGAGCGTACAGCACGAGCAAGCACCTGCAGCTCGGTAGCACAGAGGTTTGGAGCTGAATCCTGCATTAGAGAGAGCCCTGCATTGAAAGTGGAGATGTTTTGTCATACAGCAAAATGACAAGATCCCACATCGACAACTTCCGCTTCTTCAAACAGAGGTTAGACTTCTTGACAAAAACAGAGTATCACATATTTGTTTGGCATAATCCTCTCCATGTAGAGTAATCTGTTCTATCTGGTAATATCTTTATTGCTTTATAAGGATCTCTTCCAAACACGGAGACCAAAAACCAAATGGATAATAGGAACAAGCCAGCAGTTACACCTAAATCTGAACTTAAGTGTGGAAATGTCAAGAGTTCTACAGGTAACCGACTTGTAAACTTGTACCTCTTAGGGTTGCAGTGGTATGAGATTTTCACAGTACAAAAGCAGTTTCAGAAATTATCGTGGTTTAATGGTATATGGTCCTGCTCAATCAAATGTCAGTCATTTTTAAATGTATTATATTTTTTAAAATATTTTGCCATTGCATCATTTTTTACTCCTACTCCAATAACAATAAATATTATTACTTAATTATTTCTATCAGTCCTTTTACTTTAGTACAGCTTTTGGATATTCTGCCCACCTCTGCTGTCACACCACATAGCCTTGATTTTCAAAACTGCATTTACTGTTTGAATTGTGTGTTAAAAGTAACATAATTTGAGACTTTTTGCTTTATTTTTGACTAGATACAAAGCTCATCACAGTTTACAGAGTTTACACTATTGCATCCTTTCCATCCACAGTTTACATCCGTAAACTGTGGATGGAAAGGATGCAATAAATAGTGTTTAGTTGGGCAACTACTGAAAATAGCATAGGCTAAAAAATTGATCTCGGGATTTAAGATTTGATATAGAGCAATAGTACATTACAGTACTGTAAATAATCAAATGTGTGAGATATAACTCTTTTAAGCATGAAACTGTCATACTGCTGCAACCCTACTATAATATACTGTATAAAAGTTAGTATGCATAGTGATCTTAAAACATTAGTCACATTAAAGTGCAGTAGTAAAGACTGAACTTTAAACATGTTGTTACATACTGATGGTAGGTTAAATTTTAATTGTTGTTGTAGTTAAGCATGTAAAAGTTGTTTTTATTTTTTCTAGTTTGCTGTAACTCAGTTGTTTAATGCATTGTGTGAAAATGTATTGATGAGATATGTACTCTATAAGTGAAACAAAAACCAATCGGAGTTGAACATGAGTTATTTCATGCTATGTTGAAGCCATGTTACCACGTGATATGCTAGTGCTTGAGTTTCATGAATGTAGTGAATGTATAAATTGAAAATAAGGATTTAAACTACTAGAGTTCATGAATATGAGTTCTATTTCCAGAACTAGTTAATTTACAAATTATTGAGGGAATAATTGAATGTTGCCCTGCTATGCAGGTTGTTTTTTTTTGGATGCATGCTTTGAGAGGGAGTTCCATTGGACGATTCACCATCGGACACGTGAGGTAGAAGAGCAGAGGGCGCGAAGGATCATCTTGCCTGCATCACGAACTGCTTCTACTCATCTTTTCCGCATTGCATCGTGCAGATAAGAGATTTCACTCCACTAAAAACAAAAACACACTACCCGGGTAGATGGACTTTATTTTATTTTCTTTTTGAGGTAATTCAGAGTTTTTTTTAACTAAGAGAAACACTGATTTTCATAACTAAAAGGACATTACAAAGAAAAGATAAACAAGGTCATACTGGTTGATGTTTGATGTTCAATAAATGCCAGCTATATGTTCTGAGTAAACTATTTGGTACTTTCATTTGTCTACTCCTCCTGTGAAAAGTTCCTTAGAAAGGTAGCACTTCACTTTACATTATAATAAGTGACCCTTACACTAGACATTTTTTTATATAGCTGGCAAAGTTAAAGTCTTTTGAAATACACTGACACTTTATTAGCCATTGTCCTTTCAAGTCACTGAATGCCCTGCTACATATTAATGTAGGCTACATGTATAATTATAATGTCATTATAAAATATATAGTGGTTTATATAGACACTATAAATGCATTTGATAATTATTAATTTTCCGCTTAAAAAATCGTTCCGTGCATATCCTAGATCTATGCGCCTCCTGAACCGTCATACCGGTAATAAAGATGGCTCTGCGGAGGTGGATGATTTCTCATTTTAAACACACACACACCTCTGAAGGGATAGAAAAGTCCTCTGGATACCGCATCACTCACAAGACGCAACTTGGACTGGTTGTCAACAAGGCGAAGTCCACCATTCTCCACTTGTCGCAGCTCTCTCGAGAAAATGTTTTCGGCACAAACTAGTTTAGATAGTGTTTAGATGTGTACGTGGTTGATGGCAAACCAACCGCCCACAGCCAGAGTCTAGCCCTGGCAGCATCGTGGGGAACATATTCAACACACATGGACTTTGCACCATGAAAACAAACACTTGCGACCCATGATTGTCTCTCTCATCTACTATGCAATATCACAGTTTCACAAGTCTGTCGTTGGAAAGATCCACGTGGTGTCATGAATAATTAAGAGACCGTGTCTCCTCATAGGATAAGAAAACTCAGTATCATTAATAATTATGAGACACCAATGAGTCAGCAACGAACTCACAATGCATGGCCACGTCACAGCGGGTGACATAAGCCGTTTCTCAATACCAAGTACACAAACTTCGGACTTGCGTCCTTGGTAGTTCAGACTTGCCAAGTTCGACTCAGGAGAAAGAACTCCCGAGGATGAGAGGACAGAAGTCTAGTTCTTCTGCAAATGGAACAGAGCGTAGCCTACTTGATCGCGACACTCAGCACGCTCTGGCTACTCCGGTCCGGTTATCTCTTGATATATATATATTTATTTCAATGTCAATGTCACATTTATTTGTATAGCACATTTCCAAATGGCCTACCAAAGTACTTCACAGTAAAAAAGCAAAAAAAAAAAAAAAAAAATTAAACACAGACTGATACAATAAAACACAATAAATAACAAATACTAAGAAATAGAATACAACATTCATCAAAGCGGCTCCCCTGTGCCAAACGCTAATTCAAATAAATGAGTCTTCAGCAGTGATTTAAAAGTGGACAGGCTACTAGCAGTCCGCACAGCTACAGGCAATAAGTTCCAGAGAGTTGGAGCAGCCACTGAAAAGGCTCGATCACCACTGGATCTCAGTTTCGATCTAGGAACCTCCAGGACCATCAGGCTGGCTGAAACGAGGTCTCTGGAGGGCCTATGCAGCCTGACAAGGTCCGTAAGGTACTCTGGGGCAAGCCCATTGATACATTTAAAAGCAAATAGAAGAACCTTAAAATCAATCCGATACCGGAAGCCAGTGAAGCAATGAGAGCACTGGAGTAATGTGCTCCCATTTCTTCTTGCCACTTAGGAGACAAGCTACTGCATTCTGTACAAGCTGCAGACGATAAAGCTCAGACTTCCCAATGCCTGTATGCAAGGAGTTACAGTAATCCAGGCGAGAGGTAATAAAAACATGAATATATCACTGCATATATTAACAAAATGAACATGGTCGTTTTGTTTTCATTTAAAAAATATGAAACATTGATTTTTATTGACATTTATCAGAGACAGGGTTATGTCATTTTATTTTATTGTTCATATAGTTTATATAATATAAAAAATGTTGTTAAAGTTAAATAGCCATAAAGTTATGAAACCTCAAAAATGATTTTTTTTTTTTTTTTTTTGCCATGGAACAAACTATAGTTTAATGAGACCAAAGATAGACTTATTCACAAGACGAATTATACGTCAAGTTTATCATATTCACTAGACTAGAGGGGATCAGAGCCAGCGGCAAACGTCAGAAGCACTAGCCGAGGATAAGCTGTTCCATTTGGGGTTGATCTTGCTGAGTGTCCGCTGAAGGCTTGGATGTCAGAACTCCAAGAACGTCAGATGCATTTTTCAAATAGGTGCTATCTTTATAAATAAACTACAGATTTGAAATTTAAACAACCACATTCTCACCTGAAACACTCTTAAAAAATTACATTTCATGACTCAATAACAGTAGTATTTTGATATTTCGCTGATTTTCTCCTCTCCTATTGTTGCTTGCTGGTTGGTGCGATGTGCATTCTGGGTTACCTGGCTATCTCAAGTCCACACAAGTCACCTCTCGATGCATCCTCGGTCAATGGGGCGGATCAAGGACACATCCGGGGATTTGAACTGGACTTGGCTAGATGTGAACTTTGTATTTGTGGACTTGTGAAACGTCATCAGTCGCTGCCCAAGTACTGTTCCAATTCAGACAAGAATGCATATTGAGAAACGGCTATGGACACGATGAAGATTTTAAACCCGGAAGATGAAGATTTTAAACCCGGAAGGAAAAAAAACAACAACTAAAATTTAACCATTTTAACCCAACTATTAAATCTAAAAGATGTTAACATGGTCTTCAATGGTGTTCAACAAACATACCTTTGTTAAAATCTCAGAAAATTTGGTTTGGGGTTTTATGACGATTTAATGAGTTGAGGTAGAAGCAAGAAGAGCTGAGAATGTAGACAGAGGAGTAGAGGGTATTTTTATGTTATATTTGTTAAATGCATTACTTAGAATAAAGTGCAGTGCTTTATTATGCAGTGAATACTGAACTGTTTTGTCATCTTAAGAGATTGTTGAGTGTGCGGTGTTAATTGTTTTAAGAGCAACTATTCTTTGGAGAAATTTGTCAAATCAAATGAGAAAAACTGTAATCATTGGTTAAATCACTAGTAAAACACTGCAAAATGAGCACTAGAGTATTTGGATGTGTGGTCTCCTCCTAAGTCTCCTAAATCTGTAATTTTTTTTGGAGTAGAGGATTGAGGATTCTAATATCCTATGTAATTTAGATAGGGAAACAGATTAAATGCTGCCAATTCACTTTTTTTCTTCTATTGTATTGTTAAAAAACAAACAAACAACAACAACAAAAAAACACTTATGAACCCAATTTGCATGTCTATTAAGCCAGGATCACTTTATTGCACACAGAAATTTCAAAAAATATTTTTTAGCCTTTTGTCTTTTTTTTTTCTTTCTTTTTTTTTTAATCAAAATCAGAACAAACTTAATATTGTGGAGAGAAAAAGGACATTTGCAGTGTGCAAACCATGGATTAAATAACATGAATCTGAAGTACTGTTTTCAATGGTTTTCCTTCCCCCCCATTCTCTGGAACAACATTCACAGACCTTCAGTTGCATGCCTGCAAAAATTAAATAAAAGTGGTCTACATTTGTGTGACACTCGTAATTGACATTGCACATGAGTAAGGCCAAATATTAAGCTAGAAGACTAAACAGATATCCTGCCTTACAGAGCTTCCTCACTTGGTCGACAGTTCCTTGGCTTGATGAGCCTGAAGTACTGCTACTGCCTCCTCAACCTAAAGAATACAAAAAAAGTCAATGATCTAACAAAAACTGATCTCTTAGACTGCATCTTTACTGGCCTTGAGTAATTAGTTTTGACTGGTGGAACCTTAGAGTCCAGGGACTCTGGAGACTCAAGCATGTGCAGTAGTTCAGAGTTGTCAATCTCCAGAAGCATGCCTGTGATCTTTCCCGCAAGTGCAGGATGCAAAGCCTGGATAAGAGGATACAACCTCTCACCTGAATGGGATGCAAATAATGTAGTTATTTTAAATACAATATGATGTAGTACCTAGAATTTGTGCTTTGTTCCAAGTCTTTTGAAGCCATTTAATAACTGAATAGTCATGCACTAAAAAAATGTCAGCACTCTAGTCTTTTTCTTTACTTTTTTCAGCAGTATTGCTCTAAAGGGGATGAATGTATAAATTTTCATTGTATAAAAATTGCAGGGATTTGATAAATTGAATGAACCACTTTATTCTGTAGTACTGTAGAGCTTAGCCTCAATTTGTCACAAAATACCTGCCTGTATTTTCTAGTAATCCTGAAGGTAATAATAACTTTCAATATTTTCAACTTACATTGGCATGTAAAAATCAGGTGTTTAATTGGGGCTAGACAAACTTTGCAGGACAGTGGCCCTTGGACACCCCTGCTGTACTATTTCTACTATCTACTGAAGAGTATTGTTATTTAACCATCACTTTGATGAGATTGAATTTTCAAAGTGTTCACATCTTCAAAGATAATGTTTAATTGACCATGTGTGTAAAATACCCAGGAGTTGTTTCTGCTCTTTTAATGGTGCAGCTGCCAGCATTGAGGCAGTAAGGGGCTCCTGGCCTCTCACATGAACTGCCGGCTCTGTGTTCTGCACCACCTAAAGAAAAAGAAAGCCCGTGTTATTTGTTATTTGCTAGTACACAAATATTTCCCCATTTAACTGCTAAGTGTCAAATCATCATAGCATTGCTGAGGCCTAAAACTAAACTTTTACTTTGTTTATTAGGGCCCAAGCCCTGAAAGGGCGAAGGCCCTATTGTTTTCCTTGGGATTATTTATTTAGGGCCCAAGCCCTGAAAGGGCGATGGCCCTATTGTTTTCCTTGGGATTATTAGGGCCCAAGCCCTGAAAGGGCGAAGGCCCTATTGTTTTCCTTAGGATTATTAGGGCCCAAGCCCTGAAAGGGCGAAGGCCCTATTGTTTTCCTTAGGGTTATTCTTTTCTATTATTAGGGCCCAAGCCCTGAAAGGGCGAAGGCCCTATTGTTTTCCTTAGGGTTATTCTTTTCTATTATTAGGGTCCAAGCCCTGAAAGGGCGAAGGCCCTATTGTTTTCCTTGGGATTATTTATTCTTATTATTATTTTGCTACCTTTTGGGCACTTTTGGGGCCCTTAACGTGCTCGAAAACTCTTGAAACTTTGCACACGGGTCAGAACCCGCGGCCATCAGAGCCGGGCTGAAGCTGGTACCTGGGCGTTGCAGGGGGGCTCGTCAGCGCCCCCTGGAACGGGGTCCGAACACTCGGTCCATAAATCAAACACGCTTGCATGTAATAATATGAAACTCGGTACACATGTTGATCTCATCGTTTCATCTATACCTCGCGCTCTTACTTTTTACCCCAGCCCAACAGAAAGTCGGCTATTGAGGGTTGTTTGTAAAACACACGCAATGGTATTTGAAATACTCCTCCTAGAGCTTTGATCCAAATTCGACGAAACTCGGTCAGCGTGAAGTCAAGACATTGAGGATGAAAGCTTGTGTGGGGATTTTTGATATCTCGAACGGTTAGGCCGTGGCGAGTAAACAAAATCATGGCGCGAAACGTGAAACAGGAAGTGTGTTATAACTTCTTTATACATTAACTGATCTTGATGAAACTTCAGCAGTGTGTTCTCTGTAAGAGGACGATCACATGGATGTCACTATTGTGAGTCAAAGTTATAGCGCCACCAACTGGTAGCAGGAAGTGTGTCACTTTCAAAATGCTTTGAAATCACCCTCTTATTTTTAACCGATTTGCTTCAAACTTCCTCTGTATAATGTAAACATACGGCAGATGTAGACCTGTGAATGGATTCTTGATATCTTTTAAACTGTTGCCGTGGCAACGCATCAAACTTTACCATTCTTTTAGAATGCTTTTGAGACTCTTAACATGCTTCAAATTGCATGAAACTCGACAGACACATCACATTTATTAGCCAGTAGACATGTGCAAAGTTTCAGAAACGGACGTGGTGAGGGCTCAGTAGCGCCACCTTTTGACAAAAGTGGGGTTGTTAGTTTTAACTAGAGTTACAAAAATTGGTATGTATATTTTACTCCTCGAGCCGGACAACTTTCTAATTTACACTTATTAGCTAGGACCCACAGAAAGTCAGATATTTTTGTTTGAATATAGTCATTCTCACTCTGAGCCTACATGTCTCTGTGTCTCTGTCTTTGGCTGTCTGTGTGTGTGTGTGTGTGTGTGCAGGGGGAGGGGGCTTAACCATTTCACTACTGTGTGTATGACCTGCATAAAGAAAATACATTTCTTAAGCCTGGTATTTTTTAAATAAGTTTTTATTTTTATTTTTTATAAGTAAAGGCATATAACTAGTTTAATTGTAGTGCATTGACAATAGTTTTATATAATTAGTTTATTAATCAGATTAACTTGGTCAATAAACTTGATCTGAAAATTTGGTCCATAAATCAAACACACTTGCATGTAATAATATGAAACTCGCTACACATAGATCTCATCGGTTCATATATACTTCAAACTCTTACTTTTTACCCCAGCCCAACAGGAAGTCGGCTATTTTGGGTTGTTTGTAAAAAAACATGCAATGGAATTTAAAGTATTGCTCCTAGAGCACTGAACCAAATTCGACGAAACTCGATCAGCGTAAAGTCAAGACATTAAGGATGAAAAGTGCCAGGGGATTTTTGATATCTCGAACGGTTTGGCCATGGCGAGGAAACGAAATTATGGCGAGAAACATGAAACAGGATGTGTGTTATAACTTCAGCATACATTAACTGATGTTGATGAAACTTCAGCAGTGTTTTCGCTGTAAGAGACCGATCACATGGATGTGACTATTGTGAGTCAAAGTTATAGCGCCACCAACTGGCATAGACCAGCCCCTGCCAGAAGGGCTGGTCTGAGTATTTCAGAAACTGCTAATCTACTGGGATTTTCACGCACAACCATCTCTAGGGTTTACAGAGAATGGTCCGAAAAAGAAAAAACATCCAGTGAGCGGCAGTTCTGAGGGCGGAAATGCCTTGTTGATGCCAGAGGTCAGAGGAGAATGGCCAGACTGGTTCGAGCTGATAGAAGGGCAACAGTGACTCAAATAACCACCCGTTACAACCAAGGTGGGCAGAAGAGCATCTCTGAATGCACAGTACGTCGAACTTTGAGGCAGATGGGCTACAGCAGCAGAAGACCACACCGGGTGCCACTCCTTTCAGCTAAGAACAGGAAACTGAGGCTACAATTTGCACAAGCTCATCGAAATTGGACAATAGAAGATTGGAAAAACGTTGCCTGGTCTGATGAGTCTCGATTTCTGCTGCGACATTCGGATGGTAGGGTCAGAATTTGGTGTCTACAACATGAAAGCATGGATCCATCCTGCCTTGTATCAACGGTTCAGGCTGGTGGTGGTGGTGTCATGGTGTGGGGAATATTTTCTTGGCACTCTTTGGGCCCCTTGGTACCAATTGCTCGAAAACTCTTGAAACTTTGCACACGGGTCAGAACCCGCGGCCATCAGAGCCGGGCTGAAGCTGGTACCTGGGCGTGGCAGGGGGGCTCGTCAGCGCCCCCTGGAACGGGGTCCGAACACTCGGTCCATAAATCAAACACGCTTGCATGTAATAATATGAAACTCGGTACACATGTTGATCTCATCGTTTCATCTATACCTCGCGCTCTTACTTTTTACCCCAGCCCAACAGGAAGTCGGCTTTTGAGGGTTGTTTGTAAAACACACGCAATGGTATTTGAAATACTCCTCCTAGAGCTTTGATCCAAATTCGGCGAAACTCGGTCAGCGTGAAGTCAAGACATTGAGGATGAAAGCTTGTGTGGGGATTTTTGATATCTCGAACGGTTAGGCCGTGGCGAGTAAACAATCATGGCGCGAAACGTGAAACAGGAAGTGTGCTATAACTTCTTTATACATTAACTGATCTTGATGAAACTTCAGCAGTGTGTTCTCTGTAAGAGGACGATCACATGGATGTCACTATTGTGAGTCAAAGTTATAGTGCCACCAACTGGTAGCAGGAAGTGTGTCACTTTCAAAATGCTTTGAAATCACCCTTTTTTTTAACCGATTTGCTTTAAACTTCATCTGTATAATGTAAACATACGGCAGATGTAGACCTGTGAATGGATTCTTGATATCTTTTAAACTGTTGCCGTGGCAACGCATCAAACTTTACCATTCTTTTAGAATGCTTTTGAGACTCTTAGCATGCTTCAAATTGCATGAAACTCGACAGACACGTCACATTTATTAGCCAGTAGACTTGCAAAGTTTCAGAAACGGACGTGGTGAGGGCTCAGTAGCGCCAACTTTTGACAAAAGTGGGGTTGTTAGTTTTAACTAGAGTTACAAAAATTGGTATATATATTGTACTCCTCGAGCCGGACAACTTTCTAATTTACACTTATTAGCTAGGACCCACAGAAAGTTAGATATTTTTGTTTGAATATAGTCATTCTCACTCTGAGCCTACATGTCTCTGTGTCTTTGGCTGTCTGTGTGTGTGTGTGTGCAGGGGGAGGGGGCTTAACCATTTCACTGCTGTGTGTATGACCTGCATAAAGAAAATACATTTCTTAAGCCTGGTATTTTTTAAATAAGTTTTTATTTTTATTTTTTATAAGTAAAGGCATATAACTAGTTTAATTGGAGTGCATTGACAATAGTTTTATATAATTAGTTTATTAATCAGATTAACTTGGTCAATAAACTTGGTCTGAAAATTTGGTCCATAAATCAAACACACTTGCATGTAATAATATGAAACTCGGAACACATAGATCTCATCGGTTCATATATACTTCACACTCTTACTTTTTACCCTAGCCCAACAGGAAGTTGGCTATTTAGGGTTGTTTGTAAAAAACATGCAATGAAATAATTTAAAGTACTTCTCTTGAGAATATAAAAAATGCCACAACATAAAAAAATTGCCAGGGGATTTTTGATATCTCAAACTTTTTGATATCTTTACCATTCTTTCAGAATCTGGTTGATAGTTTAAACTCAAAATCATAAATAGGGCTATACTGCCCTCTTGTGTCAAATTATATTTCTATATTTATTACATATGTAACAGAGGATGTTTTATTGCGAGTGTACACAAATATAGGTAAACAGTTTGCAGTCTGTTGTCCTGTATGAACAAATAACGGATTATGTTTCCACTGTTCACACACACACACACACACACACACACACACACACACACACACACACACACACACACACACACACACACTCAGTTCAATCGCACCTCCCTCCCCCTCCTCTCTCTCTCTCTCTCTCTCTCTCTCTCTCTCTCTCTCACACACACACACACACACTTTCTGCGTGGCAGCGGCTTCAGAAGTGCACGCGCTCAGAGGGAACTTCAACACACACTTCGACGTGCGCGCCTCTCTCTCTAGTGCGCACATACAAACACTCCAGCTTGAGAGAGAGAGAGAGGCGCGCGCGTCGAAGTGTGTGTGTGTTAATGTTCCCTCTGAGCTCGTGCACTTCTGAAGCCGCTGCCGCGCAGCGAAATAAGAAAATACCACGCAGAGGACTGACGCGAAATGTGTGGAAATCCATTTGATTGTAGTTTAATTGAGAAATAAATTCAGTGC